AAACAACAACAAAAAACTTTCTGCTCACCAAAAAGACACCATAAGCAAAGCAAAAAGATGACTCAGATTAGAAAATATTTCCTACTCATTCAATCAACAAAGGAATGGAATCTAGAATATATGAAGAAGTCCCACAAACCATTAAGAAAAGGTAAGTAACCCCACAGGAGAATGGGCAAAGATTATAATAAGTCGGCTACTTGCAGAAAATAAAGGTTTGATGGAAAATCGGAGAAATGCAAATTAAAACAAGAGACAATTTCATTCCCATCAGATTGGCAAAAATGAGTGAATTTGACAATACCAAGTGGTGATGAAGATCCGGAGATTGACCACCTTGCCACGGTGCTGGGATTGCTGACGGCACCACCACCTTGAAAACAATGTGGTGATATTTAGTAAAGTTGATGATGTGCTTATACTTATCATAGGTTATGCCACACGTGACTCTAGAGCACTTAAAATGCGGATAGTGTAAGGAATGGAATTTTAAAACAATTTAATTTAAAATTGCTGTGTGATTCATTTATTGGAAAATGGTTTTTTTCTTTTTGTTTTTTGTATTTTCGGTAGAGACAGAGTTTTGCCACGTTGTGCAGGCTGGCTCGAATCTCCTTTGAACCTGGCTTGAGCCTCCAACCTGCTTTGGCCTCCCAAGTGCTGGAATTGCAGGCATGAGCCACTGCGCCCAGACTTAAATGTGTTTAGAAGAAACGGGGTCTGCCCAGGAGCTCACACCTCAGCACTTAGAGAGGCTGAGGTGGGAGGATCACTTGAGCCCAGGAGTTCAAGACCAACCTGGGCAACATAGCAAGACCCTGTATCTCAAAAAAAAAAAAAAAAAAAAAAAAAAGGTTAGCAGGGCATGGTGGCACATGCCTGTAGTCCCAGCTACTCAGGAGGCTGAGCCTGGAGGATCACTAGAGCCCAGAAGGTGGAGGCTGCAGTGAGCTATGATTGCGCCACCGCACTCCAGCGTGGGCAACACAGTGAGACCCTGTCTGAACAGAAAAGAACAGAAAATAACCTGGGTCTGTGAACCTACTTCTCACCTGTAGATTGTATAAGGTCTACATTAGATCAAGTATTTCTGGTGATAATCTAGAATGAAATTGCAGTACACGCCAAGTGTAAAATACACAGCAGATTTCAAAGACTCGATACGAAAATAAACGTCAAAATATCTCATTAGTAATTTTCTCTATTATATGTTAAAATGACTTTCAGATATCTTGGGTTAAATAAAATACATAGTGAAACTTCATTTTATCTGTGCCTTTCTACTCTTTTTGGATTTTTTTTTTTTGAAATGGAGTTTTGCTTTTGTTGCCCAGGCTGGAGTGCAATGGCATGATCTCGGCTCACTGCAACCTCCAACTCTTGGGTTCAAGCAATTCTCCTGCCTCAGACTCCCTAGTAGCTGGGACTACAGGCACGTGCCAACACACCCAAGTAATTCTGTATGTTAAGTGCAGATGGGGTTTCTCCATGTTGGTCAAGCTGGTCTCAAACTCCTGACTGCCTCGGCCTCCCAAAGTTCTGGGATTACAGGTGTGAGCCACCATGCCTGGCCTCTATTTTTTATTTTTGGGACATGGTCTTGCTGTGTCACCAAGCTGGTGTGCAGTGATCCATCAAAGCACCTCAAACTCCCAGGCTCAAGTGATCCTTCCACCTCCGCTTCCCATGTAGCTGGGACTACAGGCGTGCTCCACCATGCTTGGCTAATTTTTTAATTTTTTTGTAGAGATGACCTCTCACTATGTTGCCCAGGTTGGTCTCTTAATTCCTGGCCTCAAATGATCCTCCTACCTCAGCCTCCCAAAGCACTGGGATTACAGGCATGAGCCACCATGAGCCTGGCCTTTTCACTCTTTTTAAAGTGGCTTCTGCTACCCTGGACATTCCATGTGTGGTTGCCATTGTCTTTCTCTTGGGCAACACTCAGCACTCTCAGAGGAGCACAAGGGGATGTGTTCAAGAACATACATTGTAGCATCGTTAAAAGTAACCAAGAAAAGTAGAAACCAGCCTTCATTTTCATCAACAAGAGAGACGGTAAATAAATTGTGGTTTCTCTCTCTCTCTCTTTTTTTTTTTTTGAGGTGGAATTTTACTCTTATCGAGGAGGCTGAAGTGCTTGGGCACAGTCTCGGCTCACTGCAACCTCCGCCTCCTGGATTCAAGCAATTCTCCTGCCTCAGCCTCCCGAGTAGCTGGGATTACAGAGGCCCACCACCATGCCCAGCTAATTTTCGTATTTTTGGTAGAGACGGAGTTTTTTTTTTTGAGACGGAGTTTCGCTCTTGTTACCCAGGCTGGAGTGCAATGGCACGATCTCGGCTCACCGCAACCTCCGCCTCCTGGGTTCAGGCAATTCTCCTGCCTCAGCCTCCTGAGTAGCTGGGACTACAGGCACGCGCCACCATGCCCAGCTAATTTTTTGTAGTTTTAGTAGAGACGGGGTTTCACCATGTTGACCAGGATGGTCTCGATCTCCTGACCTCGTGATCCACCCGCCTCGGCCTCCCAAAGTGCTGGGATTACAGGCTTGAGCCACCGCGCCCGGCCTAGAGACGGAGTTTCACCATGTTGGCCAGGGTGGTTTTGAACTCCTGACCTCAGGTGATACATCCATCTCGGCCTCCCAAAGTGTTGGGATTACAGGCGTGAGCCGCCGTGCCCGGCCTTTTTTTTTTTTTCCTAAGTGTTACATTTTTCTTTCTTTTTAATTTAACTTTTAAGTTCAGGGGTACATTGCAGCTTTGTTATATAGGTAAACTTGTGTCATGGGGGTTTGTCATACAGATTATGTCGTCACCCAGGTATTAAGCCTAATACCCGTGAATTATTCTTCCTAATCCTCTCCCCACTCCCGCCCTCCACCCTCTGATAAGCCCCAGTATGTGGTATTCTCCGTGTGTCCATATGTTCTCATCATTCAGCTCCCACTTATAGATGAGAACATGCGGTATTTGGTTTTCTGTTCTTATGTTAGTTTGCTGAGGATAATGGTCTCCTGCTCCATCCATCGTCTTTCAGAGGACATGATCTCTTCCAATTGTGGCTTCTTTACACAATGAAATAGTGTGCAAGAGATTAAAAAGAATGAACTAGAGCCACCTATGCCCGCCTGGATAAATCTAAAGGAAAGGACAGTGATTGCCCAAAGCAGGGTCCAGAAGAGTCGGTGTGCACACGCAGGCTGTCAGAGACAGAGTCTTGCTCTGTCACCCAGGCTGTAGAGCAGTGGTGCAATCTCTGCTCAGTGCAACCTCCGCCTCCCGGGTTCAAGTGATTCTTATGCCTCAGCCTCCCGAGTAGCTGGGACTACAGGCGTGCGCCACCATACCTGGCTAATTTTTGTGTTTTTAGTAGAGACAGGATTTTGCCATGTTGGCCAGGCTGGTCTCAAACTCCTGGCCTCAAGCAATCTGCCTGTCTCAGCCTCCCAAAGTGCTGGGACTGCAGGTGTAAGGCACCATGCCTGGCCACATGCAGTTTTAAAGCATGCAGAAGTACCGAGAATTGGTTGTGGATACGTGTTGGTATAATAAAAATATAAAAACATGCGTGGAGGCCGGGCCCGTGCTGGGATTGATAGCTCACGCCTGTAATCCCAGCACTTTGGGAGGCCAAGGTGGGTGGATCACTTTAGGTCAGGAGTTCGAGACCAACCTGGCCAACATGGTGAAACCCCTTCTCTACTAAAAATACAAAAATTAGCTGGGCGTGGTGGTGCGTGCCTGTAATCCCAGCTACTAGGGAGGCTGAGGCAGGAGGATCTCTTGAGCCTAGGAGCCGAGATTGCACTCCAGCCTGGGCCACAGAGCAAGACTCTGTCTCAAAAAAACAAAACAAAAAACATCTATGGAAATGATAACGAGACTCCAGGTGCCGCCATCCTGAAGTGGAGAGGGCTAGAGGCGGGGAAGGGAGAAGGGGACCTGGAAGAGGGGGTACGCGAGGACCTTTGTTTTTGCAACATTGTGTTACTGGGGGTGGGTATGACCAGAGGGTTTGGTACAATTGAAATATTTTAACAGATTATTGTATGACCAGCCTTTTGGTTTCTGGTCAGAAGGATTCAAAGAGGCTGGGTGTGGTGGCTCATGCCTGTAATCCCAGCACTTTGGGAGGCCGAAGTGAGCCAATCCCTTGAACCCAGGAGTTCAAGACCAGCCTGGACAATATAGCGAGACTGTCTCTACAAAAAAATTAAAAATTAGCTAGGTATAGAGGTGTACACCCGTAGGCCTAGCTACTTGGGAGGCTGAGACAGGAACATCGCTCGAATCTAGGAATTTGTGCTACAGTGAGCTCTGGTGGCACCAGTGTACTCCAGCTGGGGCAGCAGAGTAAGACTGTTTCACATGTACTTCAGGGCCAGGTATGGTGGCTCACGCCTGTGATCCCAGCACTTTCGGAGGCTGAGATCAGAGGATCACTTGATGTCAGGAGTTAAAAGACCAGTCTGGCCAACATGGTGAAAATCCAGAAATTAAGCCAGATGTGGTAACGCATACCTGTAATTCCAGCTACTTGGGAGGTTGAAGCAGGAAAATCGCTTGAACCCAGGAGGCAGAGGTTACAGTGAGCCGAGGTGGCGCCACTGCACTCCAGCCTGGGCGACAGAGCAAGACTGTCTCAAAAAAAAAAAAAAAAAAAAAAGTATTTCAAAGAACTACAGCCTTTGTTCTCTCAGGAATCGGGCACCTGACCGCCCATCCTGCTGTCTCCCTTCCGTGCCAGCTGGTGGCCATGACTGGCTTTTGTGGAAGTGTGTGTTCCTGAGGGAAGACGATTTGCCGGTGGGAGCCACGAGCCCCAAGCCTGGGCAGGAGGAGCCTTGAGGGAGGCGAGCTCTTTGTGCCTGCAGGCCAGGAACTCCGTTCCGAGCTTCCTGCTATCCAGGACCCCACTGTATTCCAGGGGATCCCTTCCAAAGGCCTCACCCAGCCCAGCTGATGTAACTCGTTTTGCCATTGCTTCATTTTTAGGACCGCTGGCGTCAAGGAAGTAACAACACAGGATGCCCCCTGGGGTTGACTGCCCCATGGAATTCTGGACCAAGGAGGAGAATCAGAGCGTCGTGGTTGACTTCCTGCTGCCCACAGGGGTCTACCTGAACTTCCCGGTGTCCCGCAATGCCAACCTCAGCACCATCAAGCAGGTACGGCTTCCATCTGATCCTCAGACCTCGGTGCTAAGAGAGAGACAGACAGATGGACGGACAGGCGGACAGATGGACAGATGGGCAGACAGACGGAGAGATGCATTGCTTCTCAGATTTGGGATCCCCAGATGAGAATTTTAAAAGATAAATTATGGTTCGTTTTTGTTTTGTTTTGAGATGGAGTTTCGCTCTTCTTGCTGGAGTGCTGTGGCACAATCTCAGCTCACTGTAACCTCCACCTCCTGGTTCAAGTTATTCTCCTGCCTCAGCCTCCCGAGTAGCCGGGATTACAGGCATGGGCCACCATGCCCAGCTAATTTTTGTATCTTTAGTAGAGATGGGATTTCACCATATTGGCCAGGCTGGTTTCAAACTCTTGACCTCAGGTGATCCACCCGCCTCAGCCTCCCAAAGTGCTGGGATTACAGGTGTGAGCCACCAGCCTCGCTCTGTCACCCAGGCTGGACTGCAGTGGCACAATTTCGGCTCAGTTGCAACCTCTGCCTCCCAGGTCAAGCAATTCTTGTGCCTTAGCCTCCCGAGTAGCTGGGACTACAGGCACGTACCACTACACCTGGCTAATATTTGAATTTTTAGTAGAGATTGGGTTTCACCATGTTGGCCTAGCTAGTCTTGAACTCCTGGGCTCAAATGATCCATCTGCTTCGACCTCCCAAAGTGCTGGAATTACAGGCATGAGCCACTGCGCCCGGCCCAAAAGATAAATAATGTCTATGAGTTGTTTAAAGACTTCGGTTGAGTCCACCTACTCTGAGTTCAGCTTTCCCCATTTAACAGTGTATGTGAGCCTGGCACTGTGGCTCACGCCTGTAATCCCACCACTTTGAGAGGCTGAGGCAGGTGGGTCACGAGGTCCAGAGATCAAGACCAGCCTGGCCAACGTGGCGAAACCCTGTCTCTCCTAAAAATACAAAAATTAGCCTGGTGTGGTGGTGCATGCCTGTAGTCCCAGCGACTCAGGAGGCTGAGGCAGGATAATCGCTCAAACGGGGGAGGCTGAGCTTGAGTGAGCCAAGATTGTGTTACTGCGCTCCAGCCTGAGCAACAGAACAGGACTCCATCTCAAAAAAAAAGGTGTATGTTTCCCTCTACTCAGTTGTCTTGAGTATTCATTACTAGATGAGATTAGGGGTTGCCTTCCACGTGGGCTTTCATCCTATTCATAACCGTGCCATCATTTTTTTGATATGAGGTCTCACTCTGTTGCCCAAGCTGGAGCCCAGTAGTGCAATCACAGCTCACTGCAGCCTCAGCCCAGCCTCAGGTGATCCTCCCACCTCAGCCTCCTGAGTAGCTGAGACTATAGGCACGCACCATCACGCCCAGCTAGTTTTTAATTTTTTTTGTATTTTTTGTGGAGACAGGGTTCCACCATGTTGCTCAGGCTAGACTGTGCCATCGTTTTTGAAACCACACTCCATCCATGGCTGCCTAAGTGTTTTACAGGTCTTTTGTCTTTAAAGCTGTTGCCATAGTAAACAACATCTTTGGAAAGAGATTTTGGTTTGTTGAATAACCTTCAGGATGGACTACTGAGTCAAAGGATTGAATATGTGGATGGTATTTGGTGGACATCGTCTTGTGACCTTCCAGAGGGCTTGTGCCCCTTGCTAAGTGTGGGACTTGAGGGATCTTACCTTAGGCTGTGGGAGGGCAGGACCTTATCCCAGAATTTTATTTTACTTTATTTTTATTTTTTGAGACAGGGTTTCACTCTGTTGCCCAGACTGGAGTGTGGTGGTGCGATCTCAGCTCACTGGAACCTCTGCCTCCCAGGTTCAAGCAATTCTCCTGCCTCAGCCTCCCAGGCAGCTAGGACTATAGGTGCCCGCCACCATGCCTGGCTAATTTTTATATTTTTAACAGAGTTGGGATTTCACCATATTGGGCAGGCTGGTCTCGAACTCTTGACCTCGAGTGATCTGCCCACCTCAGCCTCCCAAAGTGCTGGGATTATAGCTGTGAGCCACCGTACCCCGGCCCGTATCCCAGAATTTTAAAAGCTATAATCGGGAGCAGGGGAAAACAGAACAAAAAAACAGAGAAGTAATGGATCATTTGTGAGAGTTTTGTCTTCTTTTCCTGGGAGATGTCTTTAAAAATTAAGTTCTTTTTCCTTCCACTGGAAAAGGAATATGGACACATTGCAATTTAGGAAAAGGCTGGGTATGGTGGCTCATGCTTATAATCCCAGCACCTTGGGAGGCTGAGGCAGGAGAATTGCTTGATCCCGGGAGTTTAAGACCAGCCTGGGCCACATAACAAAACCCTGTCTCGGGCCGGGCGCGGTGGCTCAAGCCTGTAATCCCAGCACTTTGGGAGGCCGAGGCGGGTGGATCACGAGGTCAAGAGATCGAGACCATCCTGGTCAACACGGTGAAACCCCGTCTCTACTAAAAAAATACAAAAAATTAGCTGGGCATGGTAGCGCGTGCCTGTAATCCCAGCTACTCAGGAGGCTGAGACGGGAGAATTGCCTGAACCCAGGAGGCGGAGGTTGCGGTGAGCCGAGATCGCGCCATTGCACTCCAGCCTGGGTAACAAGAGCGAAACTCCGTCCCCCCCAAAAAAAAAAAAAAACAAAAAAAAAACCCTGTCTCTGCAGAAAATAAAAAATTTAAAACTTAGCTGGGGTCGGGCTTGGTGGCTCATGCCTCTAATCTTAGTACTTTGGGAGGCCGAGGTGGGTGAATCACCTGAGGTCAGGAGTTTAAGACTAGCCTGGCCAACATGGTGAATCCCTGTCTCTACTAAAAATACAAAAATTAGCCAGGTGTGGTGGTGGATGCCTGTAATCCCAGCTACTTGGGAGGCTGAGGCAGGAGAATTGCTTGAACCCAGGAGGTGGAAGTTGAAGTGAACAGAGATCATGCCATTGCACTCCAGCCTGGGCAACAAGAGTGAAACTCTGTCTCAAAAAAAAAAAAATCAGCTGGTGTGGCGGCGTGTATGTGCCTGTAGTCCTAGCTACTTGGAGGCTGAGGCAGGAGGATCACTTGAGCCTGGGAGTTTGAGGCTGCGGTGAGCCATGATCTGTCACTGCACTCCAGCCTGGGTGACAGAGTAAAACCCCGTCTGTAAATAAATAAATAAATAAATAAAATTGAGGAAAAGAAAAAGTAGAAAAAGGGAAAAAATGACCTTTGATCCAGCTGTGTGAGGCAGCTGCAGTGAATACTTTGGCTAGCCTGTTTCTCCTCTGTCTAGTTTCAATTTTGTGATAATTTTGGTTATGACCTTTCATATCTTTTTTCTTTCTGAGTTAATGATACAACATCTCATTCATGTTATTAACTTTATATATATAGATACCATTTTATTTTATTCTATTTTATTCTATTTTATTTTGCTTGAGAAGGGTCTCACTTTGTTGTCCGGGCCAGAATGCAGCGGCATAAACCTAGCTCCCTGCAGCCTCGACCTCCTGGGCTCAAGTGATCATCCCATCTTAGCCTGCTGAGTAGCTGGGACTACAGGCATGCCCCACCACGCCTGGCTAATTTTATTTTAAAATTTTTTATAGCAGTAGGACCTTGCCATGTTGCCCAAGCTATAGATATCATTTTAGTTTTTTATTTTTATACTTTTTTTTTTTTTTTTGAGACAGGGTCTTGCTCTGTCATCCAGGCTGTAGTGCAACGGCACGATCACAGCTCACGGCAGCCTCCACCTCCTGTGCGCAAAAGATTCTCCCACCTCAGCCCCCTGAGTACCTGGGACTACAGGTACACGCCACCATACCCAGCTGATTTTTTATTTTTTTGTAGAGATGGAGTCTTATTATGTTGCCCAGGCTGGTCTTGAGCTCCAGTGCTCAAGTGATCCTCCCACCTCTCCCTCTCAAAGTACTGGGATTACAGGAGTGAGCTACCACACCTGACCTAGATATCATCTAGATCAGTCTTATTTTTCCATTTACAGAGCTGTGCATGTGGGTTATTAAAATTCAAACAGTGCAGAGGCATAACACACACATCTCAGTTTGGTTTCAATTCTTCATAGTTGTATTTATCTTAGGGGTCACAGAGTACATATTTTAGCCTTTGCTAGCTGGCTCTGTTATCTATCTCAGTAATTCAGTTCTTCTGCCATTGGTTGGGAGCAGCCCTGGGTGACATGAAAATGAAGGGCCTGGCTTTGTGAGGATAACCAGGTGGCAGGTGGATTTGGCCAGGAAAAGGGTGGTTTGCCAACCCCTGGTCCATGCTGATTGAAATGTTTATTAGGGCGTGGTTTTTTTTTTTTTTTTTTTTTTTGAGGCCGAGTTTTGCTTTTGTTGCCCAAGCTGGCGTGGAATGGTGCCGTCTCGGCTCACTGCAGCCTTCACCTTCTGGGATCAATAGATCCTCCTGCCTCAGCCTCCCGAGTAGCTGGGATTTTGCCACTCCACGTAGCACCACCACGCCCAGCTAATTTTTTGTGTTTTTAGTAGAAACATGGTTTCACCATGTTGGCCAAGCTGGTCTCAAACTCCTGATGTCAGGTGATCTCCCCCGACTCTGCCTCCCAAAGTGCTGGGATTACAGGCGTGAGTCACCGTGCCCAGCCGGGTTTTTTTTTTTTTCTCTTTAATGGAAATGGGCTTGACTCACACCTGCTGCTCTGTATCTTGGAGTTCTCCCCTTGCAACACTGGGACCTTTCCTCCTTCCCTGTCTTCTCTGTGACTCAGTGGTGAGCACCTTTCAACTGCTTGTTGCTATGGGAGGTCTAGAGGCCCATCACCCCAGGGCACACACTCCATGGAGAGTTCTGTTTGGGCCCCCTTGCTGTGTTAAATATTTCTGAGTTTGTTGTCAACATTTAAAAATCAGGGTTGGGCCGGGCGCGGTGGCTCAAGCCTGTAATCCCAGCACTTTGGGAGGCCGAGGCGGGTGGATCACGAGGTCAACAGATCGAGACCATCCTGGTCAACATGGTGAAACCCCGTCTCTACTAAAAATACAAAAAATTAGCTGGGCATGGTGGCGCGTGTCTGAAATCCCAGCTGCTGGGGAGGCTGAGGCAGGAGAATTGCTTGAACCCAGGAGGCGGAGGTTGCAGTGAGCCGAGATTGCGCCATTGCACTCCAGTGTGGGTAACAAGAGCAAAACTCTGTCTCAAAAATAAATAAATAAATAAATAAAAATCAGGGTTGCTGGGCACAGTGGCTCACGCCTGTAATCCCAGCACTTTGGGAGGCCGAGGTGGGCAGATCACCTGAGGTTGGGAGTTTGAGACCCGCCTGACCAACATGGAGAAACCCTCTCCCTCTCTCTCTCTTTTTTTTTTTTTTTAAAGACAGAGAAAGCCTGTCTCTACTAAAAATACAAAATTAGCCAGGCACGGTGGCACATTCCTGTAATCCCAGCTACTCACTGGGAGGCTTAGGCAGGAGAATCACTTGAACCCGGGAGGTGGACGTTGCAGTGAGCCGAGATGGTGCCATTGCACTCCAGCCTGGGCAACAAGAGCCAAACTCTGCCTCAAAAAAGAAAAAAAAAAACCAGGGTGTGCTGGGCTTATGCCTATAATCCCAGCATTTTGGGAGGCCAAGGCAGGCACATCACCTGAGGTCAGGAATTCAAGATCATCCTGGCCAACATGGCGAAACTGCAGCTCTACTTGGAAAAAAAAAAAATTAGCTGGATCCGAGTCACGGCACCAAATAAATAAATGAAAATTTAAAAACATAAGTGGGCATAGTGGTGCACGCCTGTAATCCCAGCTACTCAGGAGGCTGAGGCAAGAGAATGAATCACTTGAACCTGGGAGGTGGAGGTTGCAGTGAGCTGAGATTGCACCACTGCACTCCAGCCTAGGCGACAGAGTGGGACTCCATCTAAAAAATAAAATAAGTAGTTAAAGAACCCCAGGACAGTTAGCTGTCATGGCCGCGCGTCTCTGGAGTGACCTAGGGTGGTCCTGTGCTCTGGAGGGGAGCCTGTAGGACATGGAGCCAGCTCCAGATCTCAGCACCTCCCAGGTTCCCCCACAGAAGGGCAGCTGCGGAGAAGCCTGTCCACCCATGGTCAGTGCCCAGGGAGCTGCAGAGAGTGCAGATCATGGGATCTGCCTCTGCCCTCTGGGAGGTTCGGACCCCCCAGGCTGGAGGCCAGCCCTCCACCTGCCCTCCGCCTCCCACCTCCCAGGGGCTGCCTTGGGTGGAGGGGCTGACTGGTGACTGTTCCCCCAGCTGCTATGGCACCGCGCCCAGTACGAGCCGCTCTTCCACATGCTCAACGGCCCCGAGGCCTACGTGTTCACCTGCATCAACCAGACGGCGGAGCAGCAGGAGCTGGAGGACGAGCAGCGGCGGCTGTGCGATGTGCAGCCCTTCCTGCCCGTCCTGCGCCTGGTGGCCCGCGAGGGCGACCGCGTGAAGAAGCTCATCAACTCGCAGATCAGCCTCCTCATCGGCAAAGGTAGCCCTGCTGGGTGAGCTGCATGGCTGGGCTGGCCTGCCCTGTCTGTCTGCTGACCCAGCACCCTCCGCCTCGCAGGCCTCCATGAGTTTGACTCCTTGTGCGACCCAGAAGTGAACGACTTTCGCACCAAGATGTGCCAGTTCTGCGAGGAGGCGGCTGCGTGCCGGCAGCAGCTGGGCTGGGAGGCCTGGCTGCAGTACAGCTTCCCGCTGCAGCTGGAGCCCTCGGCTCGAACCTGGGGGCCCGGCACCCTGCGGCTCCCCAACCGGGCGCTCCTGGTCAATGTCAAGTTTGAGGGCAGCGAGGTGAGCCCGTGTGTGGCCTGCGGCATCTGGGCTGCTCTGTCCATGGGGAGCGCTTCCTCCGAGAAACTCCTCAGTCATCCACAAGCCCCCCCAGTGGCATCAGATGGTGTTTGTCAGGTGTCTGTGCATGTGTGGGTCTCAGCTGAACGTCCCCCGAGGCAAGCTCAATGTGGCATGATGACCAAGTGGTGTGGGGCGTTGGGCGTTGGTCTGTTCATTCGTTGAACAAATATTTCCTGGTGTCAGCCGTAGGCTTTCGTCCATGAACTCCCCAGACCCTGTCCTTGGGGGCAAATAGGCATCCTGACCCTGCGCCCCAGAACCCGTGGGGCCTCAAGGGCAGAGGACTGACCTCCCTCCTCCCTGCAGGAGAGCTTCACCTTCCAGGTGTCCACCAAGGACGTGCCGCTGGCGCTGATGGCCTGTGCCCTGCGGAAGAAGGCCACGGTGTTCCGGCAGCCGCTGGTGGAGCAGCCAGAAGACTACACGCTGCAGGTGAACGGCAGGCATGAGTACCTGTACGGCAGCTACCCGCTCTGCCAGTTCCAGGTGAGGCCAGTGAGGCCGTCTGTGCCCTGGGCTCCCGCTGCTCCGGATGGGGCCTGGGTGGGAGACGGGGAGCTGACCTTTGGGTGCATCTGGAGCCTGCTGAGCCAGGCCTCTGGGTCACTGCCAGAGCATCCCCTTGTAGGGCTACCCTCTCTGAGAGCACAAGGAGGGGCTCTATGTTCAGGAGGTGGAGGCAGGGCAGGAAACACCAGCAGGAAGCCTCCCCTCCCGAAAGGCCTGGGACAGGCAGGGGGCACCTTGGGGGTCCTGGGAACCCTGGGGTCCAGGGAGTGGTTGGACTGCCCCACCAGCAGCTCACCCTGCATCCCATCTCAGTACATCTGCAGCTGCCTGCACAGTGGGCTGACCCCTCACCTGACCATGGTTCACTTCTCCTCCATCCTCGCCATGCGCGATGAGCAGAGCAACCCCGCCCCCCAGGTCCAGAAGCCTCGCGCCAAGCCACCTCCCATTCCTGCGAAGAAGGTGAGATGGTGCCTCCTGCCTCCCCACCCAGCCACCCCTTCTTCCCGCCTGGCGTCCGACTCCAGGCGCCTCACTGGCCATGGGTCCAGGGGTACTTAGTATGGAGAGTTGGAGCTTTGGGCTGGGGAAGCCAGCACAGCTGACTGGTGTCCTGGGCTGGGGGCCTCTGGGGCTGCAGGGGTTGGGGGGCAGCCTGCATCCTGGCTCACTGCTGCCCTTCTCCTCTGCAGAACTCAGGGGTGTCAGGGCCCCCTGGGGAACGTGCATGGCAGGCTTTCTGGTAAAGGATAGCATTGTGGATAGGGCCCCAAGACTGGCCGCAAACCTGTGACCCTCTCACCCCGCCCCTGGGTGGTCACGGGCCTCGCCATGGGCCAGGGAGACAAGCCGTGCTTTGAGCTGAATTAACAGCCCTGCTTCCTGGCCCCCAGCCCTCCTCTGTGTCCCTGTGGTCCCTGGACCAGCCGTTCTGCATCGAGCTCATCCAGGGCAGCAAAGTGAACGCCGACGAGCGGATGAAGGTGGGGCTCCTGGGATAGGTGGGGGAGCCACTGTGTTTTTGCACAAACAAGGTGGCTGCATCCTGGAGGGGCAGCAGAGGAAGGGGGGCATCACATGAAAGCCACCTGACCACATTACCCAGCAGCCCTGCCTGGGGTTCCGTGCGCTGCTTGAAAACAGGAAGTGGGGAGGGGGCGGGCGAGCGGCCCTGGAGGCCGATGCGATTCGTAGAAACTTAACTCGGGGCCGAGCAGTGTTCTGGGTATTTGGCTTCGGTGGAGGTTGTGGGGCCAGGTTCAGCCTAGGGATCGAGACCGCAGAGCTGGGGGAGGGGCCGGGCATGGCAGAGGGGCTGGGTCCAGCTGGGCTGGGGGCCTCCGCGCTCCCAGGAGGCACCAGGGCGGTATCTGCAGCCTGTGAGGGTTGCACTGTCTCAACCCTGGGGGCTGAGCCCACCTCGCTGCTTCACACTTCCATACACTCCCTCACAACAGCCTGCAGGCGTGGGTGTCATCTTCCTATGGGCGGGACATGATACCTGAGTCCTCAGGGGCTGGCTCTCCTGCCTGGAGCATGTTTCGCTGGGGAAGTTGTATAAGCAGGGCAGGTCTGGGTTCTCCTGGCAGGAATGAGAGGAATTGGATCAGAGGGGCTTCCAGGGTGGCATCAGGTGGGACTGGAGGGGGCCGGACATCAGGTGGCAGGAAAAGTCCGTCCCCACCCACATGGGCTCATGGGAATCTGAGAAGTACAGGGAGCCCTAGCATGTTAGAGCAAGGGTCCCTGGAGTTCCTGATCCCTGATGGGGAAACTGAGGCCCAGAGTGGGGAATGGACATGCCCTGAGGTCCCCAGAGTTGGGGGAGCTGGGACGGGTGCCCATGCACAGCCCGTGGTACCGTCTCTCACCTCAGGGCCACTCATGCCACTCAGGCCTTCCCCGTGCTGTGCCACCTCCTCCGCATGGGACATAGAGTTCAGACCCACCTGAGGACATTTAAGGGAGAGTCATACCTCCTTAAGGGGAGAGGAGGGGGCTGCGCCTCTGCCTCCTCACCCCTCGTCCTGGCACCTTCCACAGCTGGTGGTGCAGGCCGGGCTTTTCCACGGTAATGAGATGCTGTGCAAGACGGTGTCCAGCTCGGAGGTGAGCGTGTGCTCGGAGCCCGTGTGGAAGCAGCGGCTGGAGTTTGACATCAGCATCAGCGACCTGCCCCGCATGGCCCGTCTCTGCTTTGCGCTATATGCCGTGATTGAGAAAGCCAAGAAGGCTCGCTCCACCAAGAAGAAGTCCAAGAAGGCGGTGGGTCCCAGGGCCGGCCTGGAGGGGTGCAAGCCCTGGAGAGCCAGGCAGCCCCTCGCTGGGCACTCGCCGCCGTCCTCCCGGCAAGCACTCAGCCAGGGGATGAGGGTCCTGGGATTGCTGGTGGGCCCCGGCCTCTTCACCCACCCCAGTCTGGCCACCAGCCTTGCTCCAGGGACCCGCCTGGGCTCCTGGGCTCCTGGGCATGCTGCCTCGGAATATCTGGCCTGGGCTGTGGTCCTGGGGGAAGGGAACCTGCAGGTAGTGCCCTGGGATGAAAGGACAAACACAGTGTCATACCTGAAGCAGAAAAGTCTGAGTCAGCGGCTGGCTGGGAGGGCTCCGTGGCTGGGCGCTGAGTCACGGTCCCAGGATGTGACTCCCCTCAGAGCTGACTCACTCCAAGCTGAGCTGGGCCTATTTGGGGATTTCTCAAGAAGCCAGGAGTAGGGGTGAGGGTGAGAACAGGAGGGAGCAGCAGGTGGAGCCCCCAGTGGAAAGAGGAAGAAGCAGCTCCTCTCCTTCCCCAAGTAGGGTCTGCCAGGGGTCTGGTTGGGAGACCTTAGCTGGGCTGTGGGTCTTCTCAGTGGGGTCCCTGGGGGAGGGCAGGGAAGCTGGGTCTGGAGGCCCCTGAGTGGCTGTCCTCATCTGCCCTGTCCTCCTGCAGGACTGCCCCATTGCCTGGGCCAACCTCATGCTATTTGACTACAAGGACCAGCTTAAGACTGGGGAACGCTGCCTCCACATGTGGCCCTCTGTCCCAGGTCCGCCCAGGCCCGGGAGGGAGAGGCTTTTGGGAGTGTGAGGGTCCCAGAGACGCTGTCTCCCCTCTACAACTTCATCTGCCCCTGTGTTCAGACGAGAAGGGGGAGCTGCTGAACCCCACTGGCACAGTGCGCAGTAACCCCAACACAGACAGTGCCGCCGCCCTGCTCATCTGCCTGCCTGAGGTGGCCCCGTACCCCGTGTACTACCCGCCCCTGGAGAAGGTCAGTGGGGCCCCACCATGTGAGGCTGAGGGGCTGACGCAGAGCCCTCCTCGCCCTGCTCCTGGAGCTTTTCAGCTTTTCAGGCATAATTTGGGCCGTTCCAGGGGCCATTTTACCTGTGGGGACGATGCACAGTGTCTAATGACATTTTCGGTTGTCACAGCTGCTAGGAGGGAGGGATGCTCTTGGCATCTGGTGGATGGAGGCCAGAGCTGCTGTGGCTGTCCCTCCATGCCTGGGACAGCGCCCCCTCGAGGATGATCGGGGTGGAGACGCCCTGCCTGGGAATCCTGCCTGGGCTGGTCCAGACCCCGAGATTGCTAAGGGTAGTTGTTTGTTGCAGATCTTGGAGCTGGGGCGGCACAGCGAGTGCGTTCGTGTCACGGAGGAGGAGGTGAGTGGGGTGGGGGTGTGGGGTGGGAGCATGGAGTCAGCAGAGCCGGAGCCCTCACCCCTGCGCACACCCCTCAGCAGCTGCAGCTGCGGGAAATCCTGGAGCGGCGGGGGTGTGGGGAGCTGTATGAGCACGAGAAGGACCTGCTGTGGAAGCTGCGGCATGAAGTCCAGGAGCACTTCCCGGAGGCGCTAGCCCGGCTGCTGCTGGTCACCAAGTGGAACAAGCATGAAGATGTGGCCCAGGTGGGTGGGGAAGGGCACCTGGGGGTGGAGCTGGGGGCAGACCACAGTCTCTGGCCACCCACCACCCTGACCCCGACCAACCCCCACCCTGACCCAGACCGCCCACCAGCCTGACCCCGGCCCGCCCACCAGCCTGACCCCGGCCCGCCCACCAGCCTGACGCCGGCCCACCCTCACCCTGACCCCGGCCGCCCACCACCCTGACCCCGGCCAGTCCCCACTCTGACCCTGGCCGTCCACCACCCTGACCCTGGTTGCCCACCACCCCGACCCTGGCCACCCACCACCCTGACCCCTGGCCATCCACCACCCTGACTTTGGCTGCCCACCACCCTGACCCCAAGGACCCCAGCCCTGACTTTGGCTCTCCCCAGATGCTGTACCTGCTCTGTTCCTGGCCAGAACTGCCCGTCCTGGGCGCCCTAGAGCTGCTGGACTTCAGCTTCCCTGATTGCCACGTGGGCTCCTTCGCCATCAAGTCCCTGCGGAAACTGACGTGAGTCCCAGCTAGGTGCTCCCCACTGCTCCAGAGGGCAGCTGTGTGTCCTGGCTGCCAGGACGTGGGTGTGGGTGGGCCTGAAACTCCCTGTGGGCCTGCTCCCTCCTGCCTGTCGTCCCTCTGGCTGCTGCCCCCGTCCCAAGTCAGAGAGCTCCAGGCCCCAGCGCCCTCCTTCCCTGCAGGGACGACGAGCTGTTCCAGTACCTGCTGCAGCTGGTGCAGGTGCTCAAGTACGAGTCCTACCTGGACTGTGAGCTGACCAAATTCCTGCTGGACCGGGCCCTGGCCAACCGCAAGATCGGCCACTTCCTTTTCTGGCACCTCCGGTGGGTCGCGGGGACCCACCCCAGCCATTTCTTTGGGAATCCCAGCCCCTGAGTCTCCCTGGAGGGCCGTGGGGGATGTTTCCAGCAGGCCTGTTTGTCCTGGCCAGGCTGGGTCATGCTGGGCAGGAGGGGCTGCGTGGCCCTCCCTGGCAAGGCTCAGCCCTCCCATCCCCTCCAGCTCCGAGATGCACGTGCCCTCGGTGGCCCTGCGCTTTGGCCTCATCCTGGAGGCCTACTGCAGGGGCAGCACCCACCACATGAAGGTGCTGATGAAGCAGGTGAGGCTCGGGGGTCCTGGGGGTGGGCAGGGGCGGCCCTGAGCCTCTGAGAATCCCCAGGGCCAGGTGGAGTCTGGGACCTGCCCACTGCCGCCCTCCCATCTCCCCGCCAGGGGGAAGCGCTGAGCAAGCTGAAGGCCCTGAATGATTTTGTCAAGTTGAGCTCTCAGAAGACCCCCAAGCCCCAGACCAAGGAGCTGATGCACCTGTGCATGCGGCAGGAGGCCTACCTGGAGGCCCTCTCCCACCTGCAGTCCCCTCTCGACCCCAGCACCCTGCTGGCTGAAGTCTGGTAAGCCCAAGCCCCCCCATTAGGGCTCCTCCCACCCCCAGGAGGCCGGCAGAGAAGCCCCAGTGACCGCCCGCTCTCTGGCCCACAGTGTGGAGCAGTGCACCTTCATGGACTCCAAGATGAAGCCGCTGTGGATCATGTATAGCAACGAGGAGGCCGGCAGCAGCGGCAGCGTGGGCATCATCTTTAAGAATGGGGACGGTGAGGCCTGGCCTCCCCACACCCACCTGTACTGCCCGGGGTGTCCTGGGTGATCACAGAGGGGGAGTGGAGAGGACGGAGTCCTGGGACTTAGGGGTGTGGGTGTGGCTGGAAGCAGAGAACCTACCAAAAACTCATGCCGCCTCTTCTCCCGCTGGCCGGTGGCACAGACCTCCGGCAGGACATGCTGACCCTGCAGATGATCCAGCTCATGGACGTCCTGTGGAAGCAGGAGGGGCTGGACCTGAGGTGAGGGCACCCCCGCCCCATTGTCCCTTGGTGCTTGTGCCCGGCCGGAGAGGCTGTGCCTCTGGAGGGGTCCCTGTCAAAGGCGACATGACCATCTCAGCCAGGGAAAGGACTATCCTAGGAAGAGCCGGGGACAGTGGGCAGCAGGGTGAGGGAAGGCCGCTCCTGGGGCTTAACGTGTACCCTGCTCTGTTAATTTCTTTGCCCGGGTGCCCCTGGCTCCCCAGCCCATCTTGGGATGCAGTGGCATCTTCTCCCAAGCCCCCTGGCTGGTTCTCTTCCAAGCCAACGTGAGCTCAGCCTTGGTGATTTCTGCACCTTGGATGCTGGTGCTGGCATCTCCAAGGAGCCAGCATCTCTAACCAGGCTGGAGTGCAGTGTCGTGATCTCAGTTCACTGCGACCTTCCCCTCCCCTGGGTTCAAGCGATTCTTCTGCCTCAGCCTTCCAAGTTGCTGGGACCACAGGCGTACGCCACCATGCCTGGCTAGCTTTTTGTATTTTAGTAGAGACGGGGGTTTCACCATGTTGGCCAGGCTGGCCTCGATCTCCTGATCTCATGATCCTGCCTCGGCCCCCCCCAAAGTGCTGGGATTACAAGCATAAGCCACCAAACCGGGCCTCTCCCCTGCTTTCTAGCAGCATCTTCTGTGGCCTTTTAGGGCACCTTGAATTTCCAGGGCACAACTGGCCTCAGGGATGACCCTTGACCATGGCATCTGCCCGTCCCTCTTCCCACTTGCCTAGGATGACCCCCTATGGCTGCCTCCCCACCGGGGACCGCACCGGCCTCATTGAGGTGGTCCTCCGCTCGGACACCATCGCCAACATCCAACTCAACAAGAGCAACATGGCAGCCACAGCTGCCTTCAACAAGGACGCCCTGCTCAACTGGCTGAAGTCCAAGAACCCGGGGTGGGTTTCAGGCCCAAGGGTAGGCCACTCTCCTTCCCTCTCCTTCCTGTGGAATGGGAGCACCTAGCCTGCCAGAGCAAAGGAGCGGGGAGGAGCCTTGGACCATGGCTGTGGCTACTTGGCTCAGTTGAGGACCAGCCTGTGTCTGGGTTGGGGTGAGATGGGTCTCTGTCCCCTAGGTATCAGTATCTGTTGCTATGCAACACCATCCAAAGCACAGGAACTTAAAAAACAGCCGTTTACAATTGGCTCACGAATGCAGCTTGAGCTGGGCTCAGCAAGTGGCTCTTCTGCTGGTTTCGCAGAATCGGTTGCGCAGCTGCTCTCATCTGGTACCTCCTACTCTCTGGGCAGGAGGGTCTGAGATAACCCGTTTCCTTCCTGGGGTCTTGGCAACAGCTGTTGGCGATACCTCTGCATGTGGCCTTCTCATTTAGCAGCCTCACCTTCCCTGGGTGGCTCTGTGTTGAGGGGTGGGGTTCAAGATCTGCAGGTGTCCTCAGGCCTTGGCTCTGGAGCAGCGTCTGCAAGCGACACCCAGCATTGTGTCCTCCAGGTTCTGTTGGTCAAAGCAGGTCACCGGGCCAGATTCAAGGGGAGTGGGAGTGATAACCCACCTCTTGGTAGGGAGCTGCAGAACGGAGTGGTCATGGTTTTCAATCTTCCCCACCCAGGGAGGCCCTGGATCGAGCCATCGAGGAGTTCACACTCTCCTGTGCTGGCTACTGTGTGGCCACGTACGTGCTGGGCATCGGTGATCGACACAGTGACAACATCATGATCCGAGAGAGTGGGCAGGTACGGGGGTGGTGCTGGCGGTGGCTGCAGGGACCTGGCTTCTGGCCCCAGCCTGCTGGCCCTTCTGCCTGGCACACAGCTCTGCAGCAGGGGTCCCCAAGTCCTGCCGGCTTCCTGTCTCCCTGGATTCTCTCCGCTCTGACACCTTCTCAATCCTCCCCCTCCCCTCCCCTCCCCTCCCCTCCCCTCAGCTGTTCCACATTGATTTTGGCCACTTTCTGGGGAATTTCAAGACCAAGTTTGGAATCAACCGTGAGCGTGTCCCGTTCATCCTCACCTATGACTTTGTCCATGTGATTCAGCAGGGGAAGACTAACAATAGTGAGAAATTTGAAAGGTGAGAGTGCCTAAGTCCCACCAGATGCCCCTTGGTGTGAGGCCCAGGGGAGGGGGCGGAGCTTCCCAGGCAGGGTGCAGGATGGGGCTCAGCTCTCGGCCCCACACCTGGCCCCCCGCCCCAGCTGCCGATGGGTTTGGAACCTGCCCCTGGCTTCCAGCTCCACCTCCAGTGCCCCTTTTGGGCAGCGTGGTCAGGTTTGTGGGTCGTACAGCAGGAGGCTGGCTGGGGCGTGGAACTGGGGGCCTTGTGTCCATTTCCAGGGCAAGGGCAAGTGCCTTCAGGGAAGGTGCTGGTTGGAGGCAGAGCAGCCGGCCTCTGTCTGGCCTGTAGCTGGGACGTCCTGGAGCCTCACCTCCTCTGCCCCCACCCCTGCAGGTTCCGGGGCTACTGTGAAAGGGCTTACACCATCCTGCGGCGCCACGGGCTTCTCTTCCTCCACCTCTTTGCCCTGATGCGGGCGGCAGGCCTGCCTGAGCTCAGCTGCTCCAAAGACATCCAGTATCTCAAGGTATGTGCTGGGCGGGAGACTGCTGTTGCCAGTGGCCTTCCAAGGCCTGTCCTGGAGCAATGGGAAGCAGCTCGACCCAGGAGGGCCCCGAGTACAACAGGCTCTGAAGGGCACGGAGCTCCAAGTGCCTCATGCCGTCCCAGGACCCAGCAGTGGGCTTGGTGGGCGGTGGAGGGGAAGTGGCTGGAGCAGCTGAGCCACCTGGGCGTGGTCCCACTTAGTGGCCGATGTGTTGCAGCCTCTCCGGGTCAGCCCACTTGTGCTCAGGGGCTGCAGGGGCTCGGGTTCCCTGACGGCTGCATGAGAGCTGGCTCCCTCTGCCTTCTCAAAGGTATTTTTCCAGGCGAGGCATGATGGCTCACACCTATAATCCTAGCACTTTGGGAGGCCAAGGTGGGAGGATCACCTGAGGTCAGGAGTTTGAGACCAGCCTGGCCAACATGGCAAAACCCTGTCTCTACTGAAAATAAAAAAAAAAAATTAGCCAGGCACAGTGGGGCACGCCTGTAATCCCAGCTACTCATGAGGATGAGGCAGAAGAATTGCTTGAACACGAGGCTGAGGCTGCAGTGAGCCTACGTCGCACCTGCACTCCAGCTCAGGTGACAGGGCAAGGCCCCGTCTCAAACAAAAAAAAGAAAAGAAATTAGCCAGGTGTGGTGGTGGGCACCATATCCCAGCTACTCAGGAGGCTGAGGCAGGATAATCACTTCAACCCAGGAGGCAGAGGTTGCATTGAGCCAAGATCGTGCTACTACACTCCAGCCTGGGCGACAGAGCAAAACTGTCTCAAAAATATATGTATTTTTTTCCTTCCTGTGTCCTCTCCGTGTGAGGAGACGGGGTGGGGCAGTGAGGCTGCTGGGGCCACATGTGCTTGCCAGGACATTCCCTGTGGCACCCGATCCCTGCAGAAGGAAGCTGCTCCCATGCTCCTCCCAGAGCCGCTTCTACAGTGGGGGAGGCGAGGTCACCTGGCACCTGGGGGCTCTGGGCCAAGATGTCTTTGGCATCTTCATTTGAGGGTGGGTTGGGGGACTGTCTCAGGGTGGGATGGGAACAGAGAGCTTTTCCCAAGATGCCGGGGGCTGTCTGCTAACCAACCCCTTCACGCTGTGACTGAAATCCCTAGAGGCCTGCATCCCGGAGCAGGATCTGGGCCCCTTAACGTGGATACCGCTGTGATGTGTTTGCAGGACTCCCTGGCACTAGGGAAAACAGAGGAGGAGGCGCTGAAGCACTTTCGAGTGAAGTTTAACGAGGCCCTCCGCGAAAGCTGGAAAACCAAAGTGAACTGGCTGGCCCACAACGTGTCCAAAGACAACAGGCAGTAGGGCTCCTCCCACCTCTGGGCCCCAGAGTAGGCGGCCTTGGGCCGTGGGGACCAGGCACCTTGGTTGTCCTAGATGGGCTGAAGAGCCTGAACTGCACCTCGTGGGAAAGAACCTACACAACTGCCTTTTGTTTACACTGGTTATTTATTTATGACTTGACGTTTTTAAGGAACTAAACAGCCATAAATGGAAAACGCCTCCTTCGCACAGCGGCGGCACTGGGCCCCTGGAGGCTGCACCTTGCTCTCGGCTGAGGACTGTCACTCCAAGTCTTCCAGCTGGTGGATCTGGGCCCAGCAGACTGTCGTCCTCCGGGGGGATCCTTCTTCCCAGGCCTTCCCTCCAGACTGCCTGGGTCCTGGCGGTCACCTGGTGCCTACTGTCCGACAGGACGCCCCGATTCTCCTCGGCTCATGCAACCCACGCTGTGTGTCCTAGATGGAGTTCTGGCAGCTCCCCGAGGTGGCCAGAGTACCCTCTAGATTCAGGGAGGCTTGCTCTCCGCTTTTCAAGTGGGTCTTGGGTACGAGAATTCCCTCACCTCTCTACTGTAAAGCAATTTTGTTTGCAGGTAAGAAAATAATAGACAACTCACCAAACCTCTATGGCTGGGGAACTCGGGCCCGGCCCTATAAAGCAGAATATATGCTGGTCCTCAGGGCATGTGAAAGAGATCTGGGCCTCGTGTAGCTCACCCTGGTCATGCGTGAAGGCAAAAGCAGGTCAGAGGCAAACACTCTGCCATTCTCAATTTTTTTTTTTTTTGAGACGAGTCTTGCTCTGTCCCCAAGGCTGGAGTGCAGTGGTATTACCTCGGCTCTCTGCAGGCTCCACCTCCTGGGTTCAAAGGATTCTGCCTCAGCCTCCTGGGTAGCTGGGATCACAGGTGTGCACCACCATGCCTAGCCAGTTTTTGTGTTCTTAGAGACAGGGTTTCACCTGACCTCAGGTGATCCACCTGCCTCAGCCTCCCAAAGTGCTAGGATTATAGGGGTGAACTGCCACACCTGGCTCACTCTGCCTCCTCTGAAAGCAGGTTTTAACAAAAGGATAAGGCCAGATCTCTTCTAGAACCACCACCTTTGGGAACCTGCTGTGAGCGTGCTCAGGTAGCAGACGTGTGAGCACGAGGGGCATGCTGGGTTCTGTTTTTCTGACTATACTTAGTTTGAAATGGTACAGGCTTCCTTAAGCCTCCAACCAAAGGCCTGGAATTGAGCAGCTTTAGAAATGCAGGTTCCAGGGCCTCTCCCAGCCTGCAGAAGCCAACTCTGCAGAGCGGGGTAGGACTGTGGGCTTGTAGCAGCTCACAGGTGATTCTAATGTATCAGCTGTGAACTCAGGCCCTGCCCGGTGATGCTGTTGATCTCTCAAAGGTCTTCCAAAACTCAACAGAGCCAGAAGTAGCCGCCCACTCAGCGGCTCTGGTGCCAGCTCTGTTTGATCCACCAGGGGTCCGCCAGCAGTCAGTGCCACCCGTGGGGCACCTCCCCAACCACACGCCTGTTCCTGGCAAGTGCTGAAACTCACCAGACCGTCTGCCTGTTCTGAGATGGGGAAAGCCGAGCGTGCGTGCATGTGTTGTTATTTATTTCAGTGCGCCTGTGCGCGGGCGTGGGAGCATACTTTGCACAGCCGCAGCGTTTCTGGTTTGGGTGTACAGTCTTGTGTGCCTGGTGAGAAGAGTATTTTCTATTTTTTTAAATCATTTCATGTTTCTGTGTGGGGAGGGTGAGTTCAGTATCACTGATGTGGGTTGAGACCAGCACTCTGTGAAACCTTGAAATGAGAAGTAAAGGCAGATGAAAAGAGAGAAAAAAGCCTTTTTATGTATGTTCTTTTATGTTCTCGGCTCAAAAAGAAACAAGGGAGTGCAGGATTAAAATGGAAACAGGAGAGAAGACGAGCCTCACTCCGACTGGAGTCAGAACCAGAACTTTATTGTAGCGGATACACTTTCTGACCTATCATCAATATACACATCTGCAGAGGGAAACCACGGCGGCGACATACAGCATGAGGACATCCCCTGGGCGTGAGCGTCCGCTGTCAAACAGAGCAGCTACAGGGACGGGACATGGAGGATGGCCACAGGCCACACACAACACAGCGCAGCCGGCAGTGTCCTCAGAACGAGTGGTCAGGGTCACAGAACAGTATTCAAAATGATTGCCCACCCGTTTTAGAAATCTAAAATTTTACATGTCACTAAGAGCAAAGTGCCTTTAGACCATGACTGTTTTCTCTCCTTTTGCCCTACCACTGCCAAGCAAAGCAGCAGGGCTCCTAGGGGAGACAGACTTCACCCCGCTGCTGGCAGGAGGCATCCCACGGGGCTCTGGGGAGGAGAGAGGAGAGAACAGGCTGTTTTGGAAAATTCTAGCACTTTGCCTTCAGGCCACGGGTCCCTACTGGATGTTCTGAGACTTCTGCCGTCTCTGAAGGGAGTGGCCGGCGGCCTGCAGGACGCCTGTCAGTTTCTGTAGTCTATGCCCCTTTCACCAGCAGGGAAACATACACCTAGGCATAAACCACAAGGCTGTGCACGGTGAGTCCAGGCTGCTGCACAGGGAGCTGCTGTCGGAGGAGTGTGGAAAAGGGGCCGGGGACCCTGCACCCGCACACCCACACCAAGTTAGGAGCAGGCAGAATCCCAAAGGCAAGGCCCAGCTACTTGTAGCTACCAAAGAACGGTCCCTGATCCGGTCTCCTGAGCAGCACACGTCAAGGCCTGTGGCCCTGACTCCCAGCCACACTGGGGAGGGAGGGTGCCTTCTGGCGGGAAGAGCCCATGCTCAGAGCTCTGAACATCATTCACTTTACATTCCAGTCCTGGGTTACACTAGCACAAAGGACACAGGAATCCGATTTATTTACAAAATATTAAAAAGTCAGTTAATCATCTACACAGTAGCCCCATCCTGCCATTATTTATACATGCACTAGTTTGGAAAAAATAAAAACTTTTTTAAAAAAAGAAAAAAATGATTACCGGGTGGGAGTGAGCATTTTTTACCCTTTGTCAACGAGTCCAGCTGGCATGGCTTTTCTGGAGCGCGAGGGCCGGGTCCTCTCCCCGGTGGGGGAGACTCCAGACACAAAGGCGGGGCCCGAGGCGCTGAGCGGCCCCTGCACGAGCCGGATGGCAGCCAGAGAGGACTCGTCAGCTCCTCATGGGACTGAAGAGAGCGACCAGGCAGAGGGCGGGGGGAGCCTAGGGTCCTACACACCAAGCACGGCGACAATCGCGGCGGGAAGGGGTCTGCACACCTACTGGCCGAAATGACTTTGTACACCATGGACCCTTGGGAATGGGAGAACGGATGACAGCAGAGTCTTCGGAAGCAGAAACAAATGTGGCCAGGGACGCGGGTCAGTAGCTGAGGGTGGAGTCGTCCCACTCCAGCTGCTGCTGCCGGTTCACGTTCTGGGGGTCACCCTGCTCCCCCTCCTCCTCCTCGCTGCTCTCCGACTCTGCACTGGTGATGTCATCTTCTTCCTCGCCGTCCTCGCTCTCCTCTTCCTCCTCCTCCTCCTCTTCCTCCTCACTGCTGTGCTGGTCCTCGTATGTCTGGCAAAGAGAAGTGACGGCCCCATGAGTCCGGCCTGGCCCACAGCCCTGTCACTCTCCCATTTTGACAGCCAGAGGAAGGAGAGCTCGCCCCAACGTCTCCCTCCCCAGCGACAGGGCAGCCAGGATGGCACTGGAAGTTATCCTATTCAAAGCGAAGGGAAAACAAAGCACCAATCAGCAACCACGGAGTTGCCCACATACAAAGCAGCTGGGGACAGCACCTCAGGTGCCCCACCAGAGAACTCGCAGAAGTACCAGGACCCAAGAGCGCCAAGCCCTGGCACAGCTCATCTCCACACTCTCTAAGCAGGATGGCCTTGAATAAGGCCTCTCTGAGCCTCAGTTTACCCATCTGGGAAATGAAGACACCTAACGCCCAGGCTTGCTGTGCGGATGACACGATGGAAAGTGTGTGAACACGACGGAGCCATGCCGCGCTGGCTTCTCTGAAGCCCCGGCCTGCGGAGCCTCTCAGTCCTGGGGCCGCCTGCCCGCTCCTACCTCCATGGGGTTGACGGTGATGGTCAGGGCAGAGTCGTCCCAGTCCATCTCGTTCTCCTTCCCGGTGTCCTGGTCCCGCATGGTCCGCTGGTGTGCAGCCCGGATCCGAAAGACCCCCAGGATGATCATGAACACCAGGAAGCTGACACACACCACAATCACCACGGTTGCTGTGCTGGGGACAACTGCGGGAGAATTGGGGTGTGTGAGTGAGGCTGCTCAGCCAGAGGGCCACCGTGCCCTTAACCTCCTTGGCTGTGCCTGGACCTCTCCTTGGCCGGACAGCATGCTTCACCTGAACCCACAGATCAGGAGGAAATACCACGAAGAACTCAGCATGGGCCTCCAATCTGGCTGGGCCACATTCTGCTCTGTGACTGTGGTGACATCGTTTGTCCCCTTCAAGGACTTTACTTTCCTTGTGTATGACGGGGAATAACGGACAGGGAATGCCCGGCAGTCGTTCTGAGCAGGAGGCTGTGCTCACGGTGGAGCCAGGGCAGGGTGGACGGCATGGGGCATCTGGGCTCCATCTCCCTCCCCTTGTCCTACCTGCAAACGGGTGGGGGTTGGCCAGGTTGTGGCCTGACAGGTCAACAAAGGAGCGGTGTTCCGGGTGAACGAACTGGGGCTGGGCAGCCATGTGGTTGGCGTGTTCCAAGGGGTTTGCCGTGTGGATTACATTCACCTGCAGCAGACAGAGAGAGGATCGCTGGAGATAGGCTACCTGAGCCTGTCCAAGAGCAGACAGTGGAGTCCTGCAGCTGACATGACCAGTGCCACTCAAGTGTGGCTCCTGGATTGCACCTGGGGACAAACGGAGCTACAGGAAAAGGACAGGAGAAAAAAAAAAACAGTAAGCACTTTAAAACAAACACAAAAGGAAAAGAAAAAAACAAAAACAAACCAAACCAAAAAGAGTAATGTGCACTTAGAAAGTGCTGCAGCAATCTGATACTGCCACAGTTCAGGAAATGCCTCGCTTCCTAATTATCATCACTTGTTGAGGCTGGGTCTTCCTCAGTTGCCCAGGCTGGAGTGCAGTAACTATTCACAGGCATGGTCACGGCTCACTGCAGCCTGGAACTTCTGTGCTGAAGTAATCCTCCCACCTCAGCCTCGAAAGTAGCTGGGACTACAGGCAAGCACCACCACACCTGGCCGCAATTCATTTTTACTGCATTTCATAAAAGAATGTACCCAAAACAAGAGCAGAAAAATAAACCAATGGACCTTCCCCATGGGTCGCTGGGGAAGCACTGGCATAGACCTCTTCCCTCAAACCACAGTCTTATGGAAGATGGCATCAATCACAAATGAAATTCATTTCATTTCAAATCTGTTACGCTCTGGCTCAAACAATACCGGTGTCAGTTCTGCAGCACTGGATTTGGCATTCTGCTCTTGAGTTCATGGCGAGGTGTTCCACTGCTAAGAGTAACTTTGGGTCTGTTTTCTCCAGGCCACAGAGGACCTGGGCGGTGAAGCAGCCGCTGGCTAGGTCTGTGGATGATCTCAAGAGCAGGTCGAGCTGCCCTCTAGCCATTGTGGCCTGTGAGTCACCACCGCCGGCCTTGGCAGCACTGGTCCTGCCCCGTGCGGGTCCCTGCATGAGCCCCCCTCAGCCTGGGCCGAGGACTCAGCTTCATTTGCAGGAGGGCCAGTGACCTGGCACAGATGCAAAGAACCTTTGGTTCCCTGGGTGCTGCTCTTTCTAAAACAGCGTCCTTGGCCGGGAATAGTGGCTCATGCCTGTAATCCCAGCACTTTGGGAGGCAAGGCTGGGCAGTCAAGACCAGCCTGGGCAACACAGTGAGACCTCATCTCTTAAATAAATAAATAAATAAACAGCATCCTCCTGTTTCTCTCATGGGAAATCTCGAGAAGCCAGAGAGGCAGTAACTGCCATTTGCTCTTTGTCACCTCCCTCACCTCCCTGCAAGGTTCCTTAGGCTCCAACTCAGGCTGAGGCAGCCAGGGAAAGGGGGGCACCCCCACCCCACGCCACCCCAAGCACAACCTGTCACTCCAACCAGCCCAGATGTCACCTGCAGCAGGCCCCAGGCTCGAAAGGCGACCCCCAACTAGAATGAGCCGGTATAGCTGCCACCAGGAATGCTCTAAGGGCTGGCGTTTGTGATTACCAGGGCTTCGAGTCACGGCATCAGATACTGCTGCTACTGGCCCCGCTCTACAGGAGCCCTGTACTCACCTCCACCTTAAATTCGTTGCTGATGTAGCGGCCATTCAGCTCTGAGCAGATGAGCTTGAACTTCCGGTCAAGCAAGGACCTGGCATGCCAGTTCCGATAGCGCAGGAGGTGCAAAACCTCCTCGTAGCTGGCCATAGTGTCCACGCCTGCAAGGATGGAAACGGGGAGGATTGCCAGTGGCTTCAGTCAGAAGCGCAGGCAGGGCCACAGCCATCAGCACAGGTAGCTCAATCAGACACCCGGGTCAGCTAGGCCAAGGGGTCACACAAGTTGGCTTTCCAGCCATGGGAATAAATGCTACATGCACGGGGCCATTCTTCCCTCTGGGGGGGAATGTGCCATCCCACATCTCAACCCTTCCCCTTTAGAAGGTAGTGGCTGCATATCTGCTTCCTGTCCAGGAGACGGGAGTGTGTCTGCAGCCAGCAGTGATCCCAGCGAACGCGCTCCCTCTCTCTTCCTCTAAGATAACTCAATATTCTCGGATGGCAGGCGGCCACCAGCCAAGAGCTCTCAAGGTCCCGCCTTGCAGCCTGGCCCACCAGCGTGGCTGCGGTGCGCCCCCTCACCTGTGAAGGTCATGCCCAGCTCCGAGCTGCTCACTTCAATGCCCTTCTGCTGCAGGCGGGCCATGTCTACCTCCAGGCTCTCCTGCTCGTGGTTCAGCTCCTCTCCCTCCACCGTGACCTCACAGGTATCCAGGTCGTGCACAATCTCCTCGGACACCAGTGATTCTTGAACTGCAAAAAAGGTCCGACCAGAAATACCATAGGGGCAGTGGGGCCTAGCATGGCCAGGCACACTCATGCCCTGCCGGCTCACCCCAAACCCACATGGCTCTTGTAAGGACCAACAACAGAGGCAAGCGAGAGGCCCTTTCAAAAATGGCCAGGCGGGGTGGCTCATGCCTGTAATCCCAGCACTTTGGGAGGCCGAAGTGGGTGGATCACCTGAGGTGGGGAGTTCGAGACCAGCATGGCCAACAGGGTGAAGAAACCCCATCTCTACTAAAAATACAAAAATTAGCCAGGCGTGGTGGTACAAGCCTGTAATCCCAGCTACTCGGGAGGCTGAGGCAGAAGAATCGCTTGAACCCGGGAAGCGGAGGTTGCAGTGAGCCAAGATCACGCTACTGCACTCCAGCCTGGGTGACAAGAGTGAGACTCCATCTCAAAAAACAAAAAGGAAATGGAGGCATTTCATGTGTCCTGAGCAAGAATCGTGGGGACACTGTGCCCCCATGGGCTAACCAGCCTGACAGGTGCAACCCAGAGCCTGAGAGCAATCAGGGAAAGATGCAAGGCCCTCCAGGTGGGATTCCAGAGATCACATGAGCTCCAGCTCATGGTCGGATCCCAGCAGCACACCCGAAAAAACGGCAACAAAAACAATGAAACCTCCCAAATCCCACAGAGGCAAAGAGCCCCAGAAGTACATGCGGCAACGGGGTTTCCGGCCCAGGCAAGGGGCCCATGTGCCACAGAGCGCATTACCTGTGGGGTCCTCAGCCCCGTCCCCTTCAGGCTCCACTTCTCTCGTGATGGTGCTGATGATGTGAAGCTCAGGAAAAAGGAACACCCCTTCTGAGCTTTCGAATTCAGAAGCCGCTCGGGCAAAATGGTGGACGCCGCTCAGGCTGATCTTGGGCTCCTCAGGCTGTAAAACCATCACGTAGCCATCTACTGGGGGGACTGACATGCAGGTGGCCTCGTTAAAACACCTGCCAGCAAGAAACAGGGAAGGGTCAGGGCTTTGGGAGCTGATGCTGGAGGCCACCTGTACAAAGGCACATGGCGGGTAGGATCCACAGGCTCCCGCTGACACCTGCAGGGGCCCCTCCAGGAACATGCTTGCCAACATGATGCCTAAGTGTCACTCAGATCTCTCCCCCACACTTTCTGATAACACACGATGGCTCACCTTTCCTTACAGAAGGGAGGTTAGGCTGTCTTAAAAACCTAAATATACACGCGTCATTGAGAGAAACAGACCTACTGTTAAAAATCAGGACATACTTGATTGTGCTGGTGATTTTGAGTCTGCGAATTCCGGGCGTGGGGAACTGCCGAGAGTTCAGGTAGGAGATGTGCTGCATGGTCTTATCCAATGCCCCGATGTCCTCTCCCTCCAAGGTCAACACCAACTGACTGGGGTGTGCTTGGATCTGAAATCACACCAGAGAGAGGAGGTAAATAAGGCAGGAACTGCAGCGGCTGAAGCCACAGAGGCCTCCACAAAGGACCGGCCTGGGGTCAACTTGAATTGCTGATTCGAGAAAGAAAAGCTTGTTAAAGTCCAGCGAAGACAGCTCTTTTACGCAACAGTAATCGTATCAATCACAGATTACTGGCTCATCCCACCAGCCCCCGGGGCTGCAGTCTAAGGGGCCCATGAGTGCTGGGCAGCTGGATGCTCAGTGTTACCTGTACGCCTCTGCTGCTGTCTTCAGGGACCTGCAGGTCAAGCCCCTCCTTGCAGGTATACAGACAGTCGATCACCTTCTTATCTGCGAGTTTCCCAGAACGGAGAGTTAGGCCAGCCAGATTGCCTCGGAAAAACTGGGTCATGTGCAGGTCGCCACCTTTGGGTCAGGGGAGAACAGGAGATCAGGTGTGCAGCCCAGCATCGCCCAGCTCACTTCTCACTCAACGCGGTGTTACCGGTGCTGGCAGCTCGGTGGATGGACATGCAGGTTAGTTCATACCAAGTCCAGTTAGCCTTGCAATCTACATGGAAGCGCAATGAAGAAATTAAACCATTCATGATCATGCACATGGCCTGGGGAAGGGGGGAGTTGGGGGCGCCTCACCTGAAGCCAAGAGGTCCCCTGAGTGTTCCCACACCTCTGGCCACGCCCTAGTAAGGGAGCCTACCCCGTTCTCACCACCAGGGTGCATGGTGACACTTCCTACCGCCACCAGCCTCCAGCCACTGCCTTCTGAGTTGGCTGGGTCCCACATGGCTGTTTTCTCTATCTAGCACGCCCTGGCGAATGAACCCACATGACCCAGGTGGGGAGGACAAAAGGGAGGCTTAAAATCTCCCCTGCGTGGAACGGCCTATTTCAAGGATGCTATGGTGTTGAGTCCCACCCCTACCCTTCCTGCCTCCTACTCCTGAGGATCACTGTGAAGTGCAGATGTTACAAGGAAAACCAAAACCCAGAAAATGGCTCTTTGACACATGACAACAAAGAGCCAGAAACAGGGTTAAACTAAACCTTGTTCTTAAACTGAAGACGGAAAAGAGACCAATTTTCAGCAATGCGTCTCATTCTGGTATGGGAATCAGGCGCTGTGAATCATCACTAGGAACTGAGGTTTCTAAGAAATGTCTATTTGCTGGACATGGTGGCTTGCGCCTGTAATCCCAGCACTTTGGGAGGCCAAGGCGGGTGGATCACCTGAGGTCAGGAGTTTGAGACCAGCCTGGCCAACATGGTAAAACCCTGTCTCTACTAAAAATACAAAAATTAGCTGGGCGTGGTGGCGTGCGCCTGTAGTCCCAGCTACTGGGGAGGCTGAGGCAGGAGAATCGCTTGCACCCGGGAGGTGAAGGTTGCAGTGAGCCGAGATCACACCACTGCACTCCAGTCTGGACGACAAAGCGAGACTCCGTCTCAAAAAAAAAAAAAAAAGTCTATTTAAAGTTTACTGTCAATCAGGACAGAGTATCTAGAAACAAGTCTTTTCCTGTCTCATGGTTCAGCTGCATGACAGTCACGAGGCAGCTTCCCAAACCTGCCTGTGAGATTTCAGCAGACAGCCTCATGCAGCGCGGTCAGGATAAAACTGGATTGGGGCGGGGGGAGTCCCATGCGTGCACCACCTGAGATGTCATTTGTCCTCACTACAACTGGGGTCAGCATGGGTAGAAAAAGGAATCCATGAAGCAATGGGGAAGCGCAATGCGGGGAAGCGGCTCAGATGGTGTCCAGGCCCAAAATGTAACCTGGCCATTTCATGCCACACGTGGAATGAATCAATGTATCATCTTTAAATGAAACACAAGAGTGAACTGTAGGGAAAAAATCCAGCAACCTGCAGAGGCCACAGTCACAGGCTCAGTTTCATTGTCACTTTCAACTCCTGAAAACTCTGTGGAAAAGCAAGACAAAGACAACAGAAAAGGACCGAGAGGTTAGGGCCTTCAAACTGGACCTGAAAACCAGGTTTGAAGCAACCAAGTATAAAACACGAAGAGAAAATCCCCTTGCCGCCCCGCTCAGGGGTGCACCATCTGCAAGCTTGTACTCAATCAGCTTTTCCCAGAAGTGACATTTACCACCCCCAACCCAAGGCTTTTCTTCTTTTATTCCACCTTCCCACATCTTCCTTGCCAAAACATACGTTAGATTCAAAATCAGATGAGTGAAAGCACACACATCGAATTCAATTCCCTCCCCAGTCTGTGCTATGAAGTAGGGCACTCCCAGGAGGCTCCGCCTGGGCGGCAGCGCTGCTGCCAATATAAATCACACCAAGTTCCAGACCAGCAGCACCCTCTTCCTAATAGGGAAGACGCCGTGCAGACAAAACGGCACAGCACACACAGCGTCCAAAGCCTGGGACACAGAAAACGTGGAAAGTCTGTATATTTTGGAAGTGCCAAATAAGTCTGCATCTGTCCAGGTGTTAACCTTTAGGCGACAGTGGAAAGAAGGCATTTCAATCACTTTTCCTGAATGAGAGGGAGACGCAGAGGCTAAGGAACCCACCTAGGGAAGCAGAGCCTGTGGTGGACCTGGGGACCCTAATCACCTTCAGCTCCTCTACCTCCTCGGTCCACTGTCCAGAGTGTAATGTCCTACCAGAAAGGTACACACACGGTGGCTAAGCACAGAACCAACACTCTCCAGGTCATGCAGGAGAAAGGCCGCTCCTCACACCCTGCAGCCCTGCAGCCCTCCCCTCAACGGTCCTCTGGGACCAGCTGGGCGGGGCCACATCACAGGGGAAGGCTGGAAGTGTATCCAGGTGAAGCTTACTGCGCCACAGCCATGTGCTATCTCCACACCCACCAAGACTCCCCCCAACACGCCGTTAGAAAGGAATGAAGCTCACAGGCCAAGCTCTCCAAGGCCAATGTGTAGTAAAATAGCAGAAACTACCAGGAAAAAAAAGATATCCTCTTTCCTATTAACTGAATTTTAAAGAACTTGTGTGTTTTATTTTTTGTTTGTCTGTTTTGAGATGGAGTCTCCCTCTGTCTCCCAGGCTAGAGTACAGTGGCGCGATCTTGGCTCACTGCAACCTCCAACTCCCAGGTTCAAGTGATTCTCGTGCCTCCTGAGTAGCTGGGATTATAAATGCTCACCACCACACCCAACTAATTATTGTGTTTTTAGTAGAGACAGAGTTTCGTCATGTTGGCCACGCTGGTCTCGAACTCTTGACCTCAAGTAATCTGCCCACCTTGGCCTCCCAAAGTGTTGGGAATACGGACGTGAGCCATTGCCCTGGCCATCTTTCATAACTCAAGGTATCATCTTTCCATAGGGAGAAAAAATGAATCAAAAAGTAATTAATGATGATGACACCTTGAAATGACACAGCACAGGGTCAAGTGCAAGGGTCAAAGTGGGAATCATGAACCTCCAAGGTAACCTGAGGGGTCCATGAACTTGGAGGGGAAAAATTACATGCTTATTTCCACTAACTTCTGAAATTCAGCATTTCCTTTGGTTATACATGTAGGCTACACACCACAGCAGTGTTAGCAGTGACTGCAACTTTGTCACCAATAGAAGTCACTGGTATTTGCACCCCAGGCCACGGCTGTTGCAGATGCCACACAGCCATCACAACTTGGAGTTTACATCACTGTTGGACCTGCTGCTAAAGCTGGTTCTTCATTTGTTAACACAAAGTACTCCTGGTGTTACTGTCTGACAAATTTAATACTTCAGGATGGTTTTTTTTTTTTTTTTTTTTTTTGAGACAGGGTCTCACTCTGTTACCCAGGCTAGAATGGAATGGGGTAATCTCAGCTCAAGCAACCTCCGCCTCCCAGGTTCAAGCAATTCTCCTCCCTGAGCTTCCCAAGCAGCTGGGATCAGAGGTACACACCACCATGCCTGGCTAATTTTTTGTATTTTTGGTAGAGACGGGGTTTCATCATGTTGGCAGGGCTGGTCTCAAACTCCTGACCTCAAGTGATCTGCCCGCCTCAGCCTCCCAAAGTGCTAGGATTATCGGCGTGAGACACCACCCCTGGCCCACAGGCTTTTCAAAGTAAAAACATTCAAAACCATTGCTCCTGATTAATCAGCTGGGTGACCCTTGGCTTGTTGCTTCTCTCGGCCTGAGTTTCTTCAGCTATAAGAAAGGGATTATAAGGCTTAGGTGAGATGACGTGTTCAAAGGAGTTGGCACACAGCCTGCCACTTGGTAAGCACAAGTAACAAGTACTGATGCTCCGGTGGTTATTGGATCCCCTCTCAGCAGAGACTTCCACGGAATCGACCCCACGCGTGGCCCTTGCTGAGGGGGAACAGAGCCCTCACAGTACTCCTACCAGGTCCCCAAGTGATAAAGACTCTGGAAGGGTCCTCCAGGTCCAAGGCGCACTTCTATTTCTGTGTCTGACTCTTCCTGTTGCCTCTTTGTCCTTGTGAACCTTTTAATAAACAGATTAATTTATAAAACAGTTCCCCCCACTACACTCTCCCTCTGTGGAACGCTCCCGCCTGGGTTTCCGGGAAAGGTATGGTGTGGCCAGTCCTGTCACCTTATGGAGCACCCACAGATGCTAGCTAGAGTGGGGCATCGGCAGTGCCCCCAAAAGGCTGCACACAGGAAATGGAAGGAAAAGATCCAGGACACAACGGTAAGGCTGTAGGACACTGATTGCAGCCTGGTGCCACCAACCTAGTAAAATTCCCGAGTCAGGGGCGGGCGGTCATCACAGTTACCTTGCCAGCAAGCCCCCACCACGAGCTGAGTTTCTATCTTGGATGGATGGAGCGGGTAATCTTCAGTCACAGAGAAGGGCTCATAGGACGTGCCATCCACATAGAGAGTCACGCTGGGGAATTCCACACTGAGGGCGTAGTGGTGCCATTCCTCATCGCAGACCTACAGAGGCAAAGGGAAGGGGGTTTGAGATGTCCATCTTCCCTCTCATCCAAAGACACAGGGAGGAGAACACAACACCCATGGAAACCAAGTCACCCAAAGCAAGGTCTTCCTAGAAGGAAAAGGATTAAAAAAAAAAAAATCTAACAACATACTGTGCAAACACATCTCACCAAAAGAAGCCAAGGCATCTCTAGGGCGTTTCTAAACTACGTGGCATTCACTGCTCGCTAATCAAAGAACACAGCCCAAGTAGGGAGCTGCCCAATTCCGCTCTGCCAACAGTATGACACCAGAAAGTTCCTGTATGGGCAAGCTAGATACCTACCCTCTAAAGGGTTGGGCTAGTTTGCCATTGGCCATTCCTTTTCTGAATAAAAATAAAAGGCGCCTTTAGGCTGGGCCCGGTGGCTCATGCCTGTAATCCCAGCACTTCGGGAGGCCAAGGTGAGGAGATCACTTGAGGTCAGGAGTCTGAGACCAGTCTGGCCAACATGGTGAAACCCCGTCTCTATGGAACATACAAAAATTACCCAGGCATGGTGGTTCATGCCTGTAGTCCCAGCTACTGGAGAGGATGAAGCACAAGAATTGCTTGAACCCGGGAGGCGGAGGTTACAGTGAGCTGAGATCTCACCACTGTACTCCAGCCTGGGTGACAGAGCAAGACCCTATCTCCCCCTTCAAAGAAAGCGCCTTTAATCTCAGAATAAGGCACACCACAGTACATGTATTTTCTTTTCCAACTCAAAGTTGATGATCTCAATAAATACAAACATCTGCTCCAAGGACACCCCAAATCAAACTGCGTTTCCATCCCGTGCTGATGAGCGTGTGAAGACGCATCAGCCAGCTACAATGGGGGCCCCTTATCTGGTTGTGACTCAAACAAATTATAAAAACAAAAAGGTTTATGAGGCTACTTGAAATCTGATCACTGACTGGCTCTTTGATTAGATTCGAAATTTTACTGTTAGTTTTTTTTAATGTGAAAGAGTGCTGTGATTACGACCGTCTGTCAGAGACGTGTAATGACATACAGGCATCTACAAGAATGAACTGCTCTATCTAGGATTTCTTGAAAATTGTTAAGCAATGTTTGAGCGGATAATAAAAATTATTAGCAATGAGTAGGGGTCACAATGAAACAAGACGGACCCAGAGTTGGCAGTTGCTGAAGTTATAAGGGCACACAGGGCTACTCTCTACACTAATCTGTCTGCTTTTATACAAGTCTGAAATTTTCCCCAATATAGTTTTTAAATAGTATGTACTTAGAAGAAACTAAATATATAAATATAGACTATGCCTACTATAACCGAACTGTACCTAAAATGTCTACCTGTGTTGAAAATATTTTTTCCAGACTAAGCCTTTCTTTAGTTTCTTGAAAATAATTACAAGTTTCTGAGAAATAATCACTCACATGCATTAAAAAAAAAATACACCAATTGCCTTTGCATCATCAATTGCAAAAAAAAAAAAAAATGCACCAATAAAAGATGAATGCTGCCAACTGAACACCCACTTCATCTTTCCACTATCATACACTTTTTTCTTTCTGATTTATTCTCTTTTACTTTTCTCTCTCCTATTTTAGACAGCATCGTCTTTTAGCAACTGCAGGCACATATGACGTTATGTCAGCTTTTGCTCACTAACTCCATGAGTCAAATAAAATGATGATAAGGCCAAAGGTTTCCTTCTCGTCCCAACTCTACACCAAAAGAAGAAATGATCTATTCTGATCTTAATGAGGCTTTCTCATTTTACAGTGCCCTCTTGTTTCCTGTGACACATGGAGGTTTTCACAGATATCTGCTTTTCATCAGAGCAACTGCCAGAAAATTAGCTTTGCAGCCAGGCACAGTGGCTCATGCCTGTAATCCCAGCACTTTGGGAAGCTGAGGCGGGTGCATCACTTGAGGTCAGGAGTTCGAGACCAGCCTGGCCAATATGGTGGAACCCCGTCTCTACTAAAAATACAAAAGCTGGCCAGGCATGGTGGCACGTGCCTGTAGTCCCAGCTATTCAAGAGGCTGAGGCAGGTGAACTGCTTGAAGCTGGGACGCAGAGGTTAGTGAGCCTAGATCACATCACTCACTGCACACCAGCATGAGTGACAGAGTGAGAGTCCATCTCAAAAAAAAAAAAAAAAAAAAAAAAAAAAATCACCACCAACAAAAACAACAAGGAAAAAGAAAATTTGCTTCCCAAAGACACGACATCATCAAAAGGAATGTAATGTTATCTAAGGTCAAAACTGTCAACTAGTTCAAGAAGTCGTTTGTGTGGCATCTGAAAGATGTCAAGATTGCTGGTTCCTTGAATTTTAAGACATCCTGTGATGCCAAGAACTGCTGATTCACCTGGGGCTCCCTGGCACAGTTTAGGGGCAAAGGCTTTAAATGATGCAGAAATAAACACAAGGATCTCAATCCCAA